TGTTGATAAGCATTGGAAACGTAAGAAAATTACATTTTGCTTACCACAAACGGATGATTTTTGTCTGCAGGCATTGTTCTGTTACTGGCTTACTTCCAACCTGTTTACTCTTGTGTATGGATTAAGTAAGTCCCCTGAACATAGTTCTTACTCTTTGAGACGCGAGTTTTGCAAATCCTAAAGAGTTTTGATTTGTATCTTTTGCTTGTGTGTATATCCAGCATTAAGACGTCCTGATGTGAGGAAGTTCTTGAATCTCCCAGATGTTGTCAACTCTTCTACTAGGCAGCCATCACCGGCGTCGCCTTTACCATTTTCCTTTCCCGAGACAAAAGACCAAAGTGTTGTTGCTCAAGATAAACCTCCAATGTCGTCCTCAGAGTCATCTTCAAGTGTTCCAGATAGAAGAATCTCACGGAGTTCAGTTCTGAGTCAGAGAATCAGAACTCTGGAGAGACAATTCAAGGACCGAAAGAACAAGAAGTGAGAGGTTCTTTTATGTGAGATTTGTTTTGCTAAAACTAGCCGATACTGAAGAAGGAATAAGTATCTTCGGGAAATTAAGATTTTGAGTTAATGGGTAGTTATAGGAAAAATTTCAGTTGAACCTTTGCATTGAAATGAATTAGCTTGATTTTAACTTGAAGATAAATGGATAAAGTAAATTTTCCCATCATGATCGATTTAGATTTTATAATATTTCAGAAAAACAGGAAACTAAATATTTGTTTACTTAGAAACGTATATACAGTATATCGATAACGGAACTTAAGAGTAAAACAGAGTAAACCCTAACCCAATCTACAAGTTATTACAGAGCTAGAAAAACAAGAAGATGAATTGCTTGAATGTGGATCTATTGGAAATTATACTAGCGAGGTTACCGATTAAGAGCATAACAACTTGCAACTTGGTTTGCAAGGAATGGAAATCAATAGTGGAATCTGAGTTTCTCCGGGAGCTTTTCCTTTCTCACCATAAAAAATCGCATTCTTCGTGGTCGCTCATATGCACCGAATCTAAGAAAGAAGTCTTGGCTCACTACGGATGTGAAAACTGGGGACTTTCACGATCACTTGGTTCTTACATCTCTTCTTTCCTAACCACAAGGACCATCTAAAATACAACACACTTAGAGTCGTGGCTCACACGGATGTCGGATTGATTTTGATCTGTTTGAAATCTCACTACCTCCGGAGAACCTACTATGTGGCTAATCCGATTTCACGACAATGTGTGGAGATCCCTCGTCCGCCTCCTCCTCCGCCTGCCACCCGACTGAGAATATTCAGACCCGTACCCTCCGGACTCGTCACGAAAGTTGAGAACGGCGTCGTTATAGGTTACAAAGTTGTTGTGATGAATACAAGTAACATCATCGATGTCATAACTTTACTTATTTATTCATCTGAGACTGGCTTGTGGGGTTTCACCACTCTCCATTCTTCTCTCCTTTTGCGCCGTATTGTTTGGCACAATCCAGTTAACGTGAACGGAAGCCTCTACTGGCTCGGTAACAAGCAGTGTAACCCTGCTATCCAAGTTGTTGTATCACATGATTTCTACGCCGAATCTGATCTATGCCAAGTTTTAGATTTCCCCGACTTGGATAACAAAGCGGATTTTAAAAGCAGTAAGTGATGATTTTTTTGTGATCCTGTTGTAATGAGGAACCTGTTACACAACTACAAGATCGTGTACACATCAATGTGAAGGCAACCTTATATTCATATGGATCACTTTGAAATATTTATTCTATACATGTAATGTGTTATGTATGTACCTAAGTAACCTAAGAAGCCTAGTCTTATTCACTCAAACAGCCTGCAAGTAAAGATGTAAGGATGGTCAAAATTGATGTACTTTGTCCAATATGGCTGATACTTGCTTATCCCCATCTCTGTCCATGGTTTCATGTGTCCATTGTAATGTATAACAGCTGATCTTTCAATCTTCTTTGCATCGATTCCTTTATCATAACCCAATCCAAGTAAGTGCCATTTGCTCTGAAGTGGCTGAGTCAGATTGTAGAACGTTATGAGCCCTGGTGGCAATGTTCCAAGTTTCCATAGAGTCCGGTTTTCGTTCTGCAAAGACAAGAAGAATAACGTATCAAAATCTTAACTTAATATCTACAACAGTTTTAGATGAAAGATAAGTACCAAAATCCAAGAAAAAGAACTGACCAGGTTTTGCCAAAAGTGATAAGTTTCTGTAATGTTGTTCTTCTTCCACTCTTTCAGGTCGAAGATGTTCATCCCATAAGCCCATCCGCAGAACTTCGAATCAAAGTTGTCTGAAATGTGTTTATCACTGAAGTTTAAGTAAGTGTCAAGGCGATGGAAGGTAACACCGCAGGTTTCTACTGCACCATTCACTTTCCCTTTAAGATCTATGGACCACAGTGGAGTTAAATCCTTCTGAACAACCACATCATCGTCAAGAAACAAGATTTTCTCTAACTTTGGGAAGATCCTCGGGATGTAGAACCTCAAGTGATTAAGCATTGACATGTATTTCGGGTACCGGTACTTGAGGTTTTCTGAGCCTGATTCAACTGATTCAGATCTCGCTGTTTTAAAATAGAACTTCTTCATAGCTGCTGACTCGAGCTGTCTCAAAACTGGAGAGTAAGATGAGTTGAGCCAAGTAAAATCTTCAAACCTTTGGACATGGATGGTGGCGTCTCCAGGAGGGTTCAACAGAAACCACATACTCATTGCTCCAAAATTGAGCTTATCAGTCACAAGGTGGAAAACATGCCTTGAAGGATCCTGCCAAAACAAAACCAGTAAGTTTAAATCTTTTGTTTTGCAACAGTCTTTGAGTCTTACTAGTTATTGATCAATTACCTTTGCATTCATGACTGTCGAATTGACAACAACTGATGCTGCCAATACATTATCAGAGAAAAGAGCGTAGTGGTAAAGTTTTGGATTCTCCAAATTCTCCCTTCTAGGAAAATTCCTCATTGGTAAAGGCAGGAGATGATACTCTAGAGTCAAGCGCATGGTCAAGCAGTGGATAGCATCTGGTAATGCCTTGGAAGCTAGCTGAGTCAAGAACGTTATATAAGTCTGCGTGTTTTCGAGTTCTTCTTCAGCTGTTTGTAGCATTGCTCTCAACTTATTTGTCACCAACTTGCATTCATATAGCTGCTCGTGTGCTCTAGCCAGTATTTGTCCCATGTCTCTTATACTATCAAGAACTCTGCTACAAATAACAAAAGGATCAAACATGTTATGACTCTCATGTTAAGAACACTATGTACTACTGATGATATTACCTCTGCTGCTGATCAATATCAGTAGATTCTCCCTCCCATGCTAGTTTCATTAGTTGTGTTTCTATTTCTTCGTGCAAGGCGAGATTGTTGGTCATCTTTGCAAGACCACTGTAAACTCTTGCCATAATGATTTGATCTTGCATCAGACGTAACATATCTTCAAAATTCTTGCCCCTCCGGTATTCATTTTTCCAAATGGTGTAGTTTCCTAGTGGTGCAGAATCGACAGATCTGGAACGTGCCATGGCTGCCTTCTCAAACTTTTGAATAGTATCATCATTCATCAGCTCATTAGCCCTTTCCAATCTTTTTTCCTGTCTCACGCTCTATGAAAAAATACAACAGGACATAACAAATCAGATAAAGCAACCATCTCACGCATGTGAACAGAGTAAAGAAAGATGAAAAGTTACCCTTTCATGCAACATCTCTGGTGTATCATTCAATGCATTTGATCCTTTTCCAATCCAGGTTCCATGACCAAAACCAGGAACCATTTTGTCCTCGTTTCCCTTCAAACAACAAGCATCAGTCATTTCGTACAGGTCAAGAAAGTAAAAAGAACCATAAGTAAGTATGATTGTACCTCAGAAGAAGTTTGAACTGAATTATCCATTGAATGATTCTTCCTGAGTGAATCAAGGCTCAAAGGATTGTCGCTGGATGTGGTCGCACTGAGAGCATCAAGGACCTGTTTCAAACGCTAGTGAGTACTTGTACCAACAAATTAAAGGAAGAAGGAAAGCAGCAAAACTGAGAACACCAAGGACCTCTTTTGTGAAAAGAGATGGAACAGATTCCAGAGCTTCACGTTCTCTCCAGTTAAGATCCTGAATAAACAACCATTCAACAACACATTCCTTAAAATCTTTCAGTACAATGTGATGAAGTTGATAACGTTACCTTGTCGATGAAGTTATTCCCAAAATTGTCTTTATCTGAAAGAATTTGCAGAAATAAGAACAGATTCCAAGAATTACAGAATTCGAAATAATAAAGAAAACCCTCTCAATAAAACTTATTTTACAACAAATATTCGATCATCAACGAAAGAATCGTGTTCTTGAGAGGAAAATGTAGATAGAAAACAGAGAGACGCCATAAGAATGAGAATTGAGAAAAGAAAGAAACGATCAATGGTGGAAAAAGAACGAACCAAGCGATGAACGCTTGTGAATTCTGTAGCCGATCATGAAGGTGGAGTAAACGAGAAATAAGAGAAACCCCAAAACCACTGGTGTCACAAATTGTTGATAGAGGTCTCTGCACCTAGATCTTCGTTGGATTCTCCTCGCCATCGTGAACGTGAAACCCTAATCGAATCTAAGAGACGATCGCCAAATTCAGTTGCTCGCTCTCTCTCTAACTCTAAGACTCTTTCTCTTTGCTCTTCTCTGATCTGTGTAGAACTCTTAACAGACATTTCAAATCCGCATTATATATGCACCCTTAACGGCGTCGTTTACTGTAACACCCTAACGGTGTCGTTTTTGATCCAATTGATTAAAGACCCTAACGACGTCGTTTACTCAATAGCTTTGACTGAGTACGACATATGTAATGGTGAATTCGAAAAAAATTAAGAAAAGCCTTTGGAATCCTCGCTGGCCTTGCCTCTGATCGTCTTCCCACTCCGGTCATCCTTCTTCTTGGTTGTTTTGAAGGTTTTCTCGGTTATGGTGTACAATGGCTAGTGTAAGGACTTTCCGTACGTGTTAGTCCTTTCCAGGTACGTAATTTAATTTCCTTAAGCTTGAACTTTATTTTTTAATTTGGATTAAGAAAGTATAGTCGTTTCAAGATATTGATGGTTCTGTTTTGTTGATTTTGTAGGCTGAAGGATTGAGACCAGTGATGGTTTCAAGAACAATGGGAGGGTTCACTATCAACATTATTGACACCCCTGGACTTGTGGAAGCTGAATATGTCAATCACCAAGCCCTCGAGTTAATCAAAGGGTTTAGGCTGAAGTTGTATATTTGAGTGTGTGTGGAGGTTTTTACGATAGTTGTTGTGTTTCTCGGATTTTGGACAGGTTTCTTGTGAACAGAACCATAGATGTCTTCTATGTTGATCGTTTGGATGTGTATAGAGTCGATGAGCTAGATAAGCAAGTTGTGAAGGCAATCACCCAAACCTTTGGAAAAGAGATATATGGTGAAAATTCTTGCTTGTTCTGACTCATGCTCAGTTTTCCCCTCCTGATGAACTTTCCTACTAAACTTTTTCCTCCAAGAGATCAGATTCTTTTCTCAAAACTATCCGTGCTGGTTCTAAAATGCGAAAACAAGAGTTTGAGGTATGATTATTTGTAGATATACCTAAGTCTCCTAAATAGATGACGTCATTACTCCTAAACGACGTCGTAACAAAAACGTAACAATTTCCTTTTTCTTTTTGGTAACATGTATAAAAGAAATTTCCTTTTTTATTGATCGAGTGATTTCCATATTTTAATATAACATGTGTATAAAAGAAATTTCCTTTTTGTTTTTCCGAAACGACCTAACATCTCCTCTGCTTATAAATATAGTCGTAGTCTCTTTTTACTTCTTCGAGAGAAATCAAAATTGTATCCCGAGAGAGAAAGTTCTAAAGCAAGCATAAGCAAAATTGTATCCCGAGAGAGAAAGTTCTAAAGCAAGCATATCTTTTCGTGTTCTTCTAAAGCTTTGAATCGCAACTATTTTCGTATGAATTTTTACTTTTAGTCGATTGTTCTCAACGATACTTGCCGTGGCGGTGGATGAGAGGCCGCAGCATGCGTCGATCATAATCTCCACAAACCCTATCACCGGAGAGAAGAAGGCCCAATTGTCGTTCACAATCACAGTCCTCCTTGTGTGTTTAAATTAGAGTTTATGCAGTTATGACTCAACAATAACACCAATCTCATAATTCTCTCTTTCTTGACTTGTAAGTAATCTCCAAAATCCTCTCAGCTTTTCTTTATTTTCTTATGTTTCTAAGTTAATTATTTATCCCTCTCAACCAATATTGACTCCTTTCTTCGTTTTATTCAATTTCAGCCTATTGGAAATTATCGCCTACTAAATTTGTGGACAAACACTATCATCAACGACACTTGTTCCCTGTAAGTTATTTCTTCTATTAGTCGAACAAGGTACCTCTTTTAATTTCCTTTTCTTCTCTTTTCTCTTAAGAAATATTTTGATTTTAGTATTTTAATTTTTTTTTTAATGTTTTGAGTTTTTTATTTTGTTTTCTCATCCGTGTTAAATATTTTAATTTAAACAAATTGGATACAACATCCAAACCCCTAAGAGTGTTCTAGGTTCAATATGGTTTACACGTAATTAAATTTTTAACACCTTGTTTTTTTACTAAAAAATGTTTTGTTTTTTGCTTGTTTTTTTTATAAGTGTTAATTTTTTTAATTTTGTGTAAACTAATTGGATACATCATCCAAACCCCTAAGAGGTGTTCTAGGTTCAATATGGTTTACACATAATTAAATTTTTAACACTTGTTTTTTATAAATGTTTTGTTTTTTTTTGTTTTTTATAAGTGTTAATTTTTTTAATTTTGTGTAAACTAATTGGATACATCATCCAAACCCCTAAGAGGTGTTCTAGGTTCAATATGGTTTACACTTAATTAAATCTTTAACACTTGTTTTTTTATAAATGTTTTGTTTTATTTTTTTTTGTTTTTATGATAAGTGTTAAATATTTTAATTTTGTGTAAACTAATTGGATACATCATCCAAACCCCTAAGAGGTGTTCTAGGTTCAATATGGTTTACACTTAATTAAATTTTTAACACTTGTTTTTTTACTAAAAAATATTTTGTTTTTTTTTTTTGTTTTTTTTATAAGTGTTAATTTTTTTAATTTTGTGTAAACTAATTGGATACATCATCCAAACCCCTAAGAGGTGTTCTAGGTTCAATATGGTTTACACATAATTAAATTTTTAACACTTGTTTTTTATAAATGTTTTGTTTTTTTTTGTTTTTTATAAGTGTTAATTTTTTTAATTTTGTGTAAACTAATTGGATACATCATCCAAACCCCTAAGAGGTGTTCTAGGTTCAATATGGTTTACATTTAATTAAATCTTTAACACTTGTTTTTTTATAAATGTTTTGTTTTATTTTTTTTTGTTTTTATGATAAGTGTTAAATATTTTAATTTTGTGTAAACTAATTGGATACATCATCCAAACCCCTAAGAGGTGTTCTAGGTTCAATATGGTTTACACTTAATTAAATTTTTAACACTTGTTTTTTTACTAAAAAATATTTTGTTTTTTTTTTTGTTTTTTTTATAAGTGTTAATTTTTTTAATTTTGTGTAAACTAATTGGATACATCATCCAAACCCCTAAGAGGTGTTCTAGGTTCAATATGGTTTACACATAATTAAATTTTTAACACTTGTTTTTTATAAATGTTTTGTTTTTTTTTTGTTTTTTATAAGTGTTAATTTTTTTAATTTTGTGTAAACTAATTGGATACATCATCCAAACCCCTAAGAGGTGTTCTAGGTTCAATATGGTTTACACTTAATTAAATCTTTAACACTTGTTTTTTTATAAATGTTTTGTTTTATTTTTTTTGTTTTTTTTATAAGTGTTAATTTTTTTAATTTTGTGTAAACTAATTGGATACATCATCCAAACCCCTAAGAGGTGTTCTAGGTTCAATATGGTTTACACATAATTAAATTTTTAACACTTGTTTTTTATAAATGTTTTGTTTTTTTTTGTTTTTTATAAGTGTTAATTTTTTTAATTTTGTGTAAACTAATTGGATACATCATCCAAACCCCTAAGAGGTGTTCTAGGTTCAATATGGTTTACACTTAATTAAATTTTTAACACTTGTTTTTTTACTAAAAAATATTTTGTTTTTTTTTTGTTTTTTTTATAAGTGTTAATTTTTTTAATTTTGTGTAAACTAATTGGATACATCATCCAAACCCCTAAGAGGTGTTCTAGGTTCAATATGGTTTACACATTATTAAATTTTTAACACTTGTGTTTTTTTTTAATGTTTTTTTTTTATAAGTGTATTTAAACATGGCATTTCAAAGCTCTTATTGGTACTTTAGTAAGTCTTCCAAGTATGAATCTTTTAGTCATTTCAAGTCAAAATGAGCCAAACCCCTAAACACAACAACCAAGCTAGAAGATAGTTTGTACATCAATATAAAGGCAACTTTCATATGGATCACTTTAGAGTATTCATTCTATAGATGTTTTATACCTTGACAATCATTACTTACATATATGCATTATGTATCTAACAAGGTTGTCTTCCTCACTGAAACAGCCTGCAACTAAAGAGGTAGGGATGATCAAAGTTGATGTACCTAGTCCAATATGGCTGATACTTTTTTTTTTTTTTTTTTTTTTTTTTTTTTTGCATATAAATCAACGAAACTGATACAGGGAGGCCATCAAGGCAAACGAAACCTACAAAAGAAATGTATAACAGCTGAGTATATCAGCCATATTTTGTAGGCAAACGAAACCTACAAAATATGGCTGATACTTGGTCACTCCCAGCTCTTTCCATGGTTTTAAGGGTCCATTGAAATGTATAACAGCTGAGTTTGCAATCTCCTTTTCATCAATTTCTTTATCATAACCCAATCCAAGTAAGTGCCATTTTCTCTCAAGCGGTAAAGTCAGATTGTAGAACATTATGAGCCCAGCTGGCAAAGTTTCAAGTTCCCACAGAGTCTGATTTTCATTCTGCAAAACAGATAAATGACGGATCGATTATAACTTAATCTGCATTTGGAGATGAATGATGAGTATCAAGTATCAAGAAGAAGAGCTAACCAGTTTTTGCCAAAAATGATAAGCTTCGGTTATGTTGTTCTTTTTCCATTCTTTCAGAGTTGTCTGAAATGTGTTGATCACTGAAGTTTAAGTAAGTGTCCAAGCGATGAAAAGTGACACCGCATGTTTCTACTGCACCATTCACTTTCCCTTTAAGATCTATGGACCACAGGGGAGTTAAATCCTTCTGAACAACCACGTCGTCATCGTCAAGAAGCAGGATTTTCTCTAACTTGGGGAAGATTATTGAGATGTAGAACCTCAAGAGATTAAGCATTGACTTGTAATTAGGGTACGCCAATACATTATCAGAGAAGAGGGCGTAGTGGTAATGATTTGGGTTCTCCAAATTCTCCCTTCTAGGAAAATTTCTCATTGGTGCAGGTAGGAGATAATACTCTAGAGTCAGGCGCATCTGGTAGTGTTCTGGAAGCCAGCAGAGACAAGAATTCTATACAAGCTTTTATGTACGCGAGTTCTTCTCTAGTTACTTGTAGTATTTCTCTCAGCGTAGTTGTCATAGTAGCCACCATTTGGTCCACATCTCTAACCGCATCAAGAACTCTGCTACAGTAGAAAAGGATCAAACTATTCAGAGTATATCATTTCATGACCCTCATCATAAGAACAATAAGTACTACTAATGACATTACCTCTGCTGTACAAATCAAACGATGAGTGGATGTGAAGTATATATGTAGCTGAGAGAGAAAGGTGGACGACGCGAGAAAGCAGAGAAACGCCACAATCACCGGGAACGAGCATCGACGGAGGTCCCTAAACCTAGATCTTCGTTCGGATCTCCCGGCCATTGGAGACACGATCGCCTAAAGTGAAATTGCACACTCTCCAAGACGCTTTTTCTTAGTTCCTCTCTCATCTATTTACCTCCAACGAGTTATTTCAAATTGGCATCTTTATAGGCAGCGAAGCCATAACGGCGTCGTTTAGCTTAAGCCAGGCTGGCAAACTCACGCCGTTGTTCAGTGAAAATCGTAACGTCGTCGTTTCACCTGATGGCTTAGAGAGATATCTAACGCATCGTTTTAAAATAATGTCAGGCTGGCATCTAAAATGCCGTCAGATTATGCCTTATTGGGCTTATCAAATAAATATAAAGCCCAAAACTATTTACACACAAATATCTGACAATAAATAGTTAAAATCGAGTTTAACGAAAGATTCAGATCCTTATTCTTCTCCACCGGATCTCGATATCGGAGAATTAGCCAAACGATGGCCGCCGACGGAATATTCCGCAGCATCTTCGAAGGTTGTATCTCCGGCCTTGATTCCGCCATCGAGCGGCGTCCTTACCACAAAAACTGCGGATGTGCTCTCCACGATAAATCAAGCGGCGCTGGGAAAAATCAAAATCAACGACGGCCGCCGTCTTGTCGCCGCCACGGAAGCTCAGAGAGCATTTCGTTTCCGATCCGACGGTCTTGGAGCGAAGGCAACATCATGGCTATGAATCTCTTCTCCTCATCGTCGTCTTCTTCTAATCTCCAATCGCTTTCGTCGTCTTCTTCTCTCTCAAATCTGGCATCAGATTTACCGGTGGATGATGCTGCGACGGAGGAACCGAGCAGATCTAGTAAGCAGCTACGATGGACGATTGACGTCGTCATTACTCCTAAACGACGTCGTAACAAAAACGTAACAATTTCCTTTTTCTTTTTGGTAACATGTATAAAAGAAATTTCCTTTTTTATTGATCGAGTGATTTCCATATTTTAATATAACATGTGTATAAAAGAAATTTCCTTTTTGTTTTTCCGAAACGACCTAACATCTCCTCTGCTTATAAATATAGTCGTAGTCTCTTTTTACTTCTTCGAGAGAAATCAAAATTGTATCCCGAGAGAGAAAGTTCTAAAGCAAGCATAAGCAAAATTGTATCCCGAGAGAGAAAGTTCTAAAGCAAGCATATCTTTTCGTGTTCTTCTAAAGCTTTGAATCGCAACTATTTTCGTATGAATTTTTACTTTTAGTCGATTGTTCTCAACGATACTTGCCGTGGCGGTGGATGAGAGGCCGCAGCATGCGTCGATCATAATCTCCACAAACCCTATCACCGGAGAGAAGAAGGCCCAATTGTCGTTCACAATCACAGTCCTCCTTGTGTGTTTAAATTAGAGTTTATGCAGTTATGACTCAACAATAACACCAATCTCATAATTCTCTCTTTCTTGACTTGTAAGTAATCTCCAAAATCCTCTCAGCTTTTCTTTATTTTCTTATGTTTCTAAGTTAATTATTTATCCCTCTCAACCAATATTGACTCCTTTCTTCGTTTTATTCAATTTCAGCCTATTGGAAATTATCGCCTACTAAATTTGTGGACAAACACTATCATCAACGACACTTGTTCCCTGTAAGTTATTTCTTCTATTAGTCGAACAAGGTACCTCTTTTAATTTCCTTTTCTTCTCTTTTCTCTTAAGAAATATTTTGATTTTAGTATTTTAATTTTTTTTTTAATGTTTTGAGTTTTTTATTTTGTTTTTTATAAGTGTTAAATATTTTAATTTAAACAAATTGGATACAACATCCAAACCCCTAAGAGGTGTTCTAGGTTCAATATGGTTTACACTTAATTAAATTTTTAACACTTGTTTTTTTACTAAAAAATGTTTTGTTTTTTTCTTGTTTTTTTTATAAGTGTTAATTTTTTTAATTTTGTGTAAACTAATTGGATACATCATCCAAACCCTAAGAGGTGTTCTAGGTTCAATATGGTTTACACATAATTAAATTTTTAACATTTGTTTTTTATAAATGTTTTGTTTTTTTTTGTTTTTTATAAGTGTTAATTTTTTTAATTTTGTGTAAACTAATTGGATACATCATCCAAACCCCTAAGAGGTGTTCTAGGTTCAATATGGTTTACACTTAATTAAATCTTTAACACTTGTTTTTTTATAAATGTTTTGTTTTATTTTTTTTTGTTTTTATGATAAGTGTTAAATATTTTAATTTTGTGTAAACTAATTGGATACATCATCCAAACCCCTAAGAGGTGTTCTAGGTTCAATATGGTTTACACTTAATTAAATTTTTAACATTTGTTTTTTTACTAAAAAATATTTTGTTTTTTTTTTTGTTTTTTTTATAAGTGTTAATTTTTTTAATTTTGTGTAAACTAATTGGATACATCATCCAAACCCCTAAGAGGTGTTCTAGGTTCAATATGGTTTACACATAATTAAATTTTTAACACTTGTTTTTTATAAATGTTTTGTTTTTTTTTTGTTTTCTATAAGTGTTAATTTTTTTAATTTTGTGTAAACTAATTGGATACATCATCCAAACCCCTAAGAGGTGTTCTAGGTTCAATATGGTTTACACTTAATTAAATCTTTAACACTTGTTTTTTTATAAATGTTTTGTTTTATTTTTTTTGTTTTTTTTATAAGTGTTAATTTTTTTAATTTTGTGTAAACTAATTGGATACATCATCCAAACCCCTAAGAGGTGTTCTAGGTTCAATATGGTTTACACATAATTAAATTTTTAACACTTGTTTTTTATAAATGTTTTGTTTTTTTTTGTTTTTTATAAGTGTTAATTTTTTTAATTTTGTGTAAACTAATTGGATACATCATCCAAACCCCTAAGAGGTGTTCTAGGTTCAATATGGTTTACACTTAATTAAATTTTTAACACTTGTTTTTTTACTAAAAAATATTTTGTTTTTTTTTTGTTTTTTTTATAAGTGTTAATTTTTTTAATTTTGTGTAAACTAATTGGATACATCATCCAAACCCCTAAGAGGTATTCTAGGTTCAATATGGTTTACACATTATTAAATTTTTAACACTTGTTTTTTTTTTTAAATGTTTTTTTTTTTATAAGTGTATTTAAACATGGCATTTCAAAGCTCTTATTGGTACTTTAGTAAGTCTTCCAAATATGAATCTTTTAGTCATTTCAAGTCAAAATGAGCCAAACCCCTAAACACAACAACCAAGCTAGAAGATAGTTTGTACATCAATATAAAGGCAACTTTCATATGGATCACTTTAGAGTATTCATTCTATAGATGTTTTATACCTTGACAATCATTACTTACATATATGCATTATGTATCTAACAAGGTTGCCTTCTTCACTGAAACAGCCTGCAACTAAAGAGGTAGGGATGATCAAAGTTGATGTACCTAGTCCAATATGGCTGATACTTTTTTCTTTTTTTTTTTTTTTTTTTGCATATAAATCAACGAAACTGATACAGGGAGGCCATCAAGGCAAACGGAACCTATAAAAGAAATGTATAACAGCTGAGTATATCAGCCATATTTTGTAGGCAAACGAAACCTACAAAATATGGCTGATACTTGGTCACTCCCAGCTCTTTCCATGGTTTTAAGGGTCCATTGAAATGTATAACAGCTGAGTTTGCAATCTCCTTTTCATCAATTTCTTTATCATAACCCAATCCAAGTAAGTGCCATTTTCTCTCAAGCGGTAAAGTCAGATTGTAGAACATTATGAGCCCAGCTGGCAAAGTTTCAAGTTCCCACAGAGTCTGATTTTCATTCTGCAAAACAGATAAATGACGGATCGATTATAACTTAATCTGCATTTGGAGATGAATGATGAGTATCAAGTATCAAGAAGAAGAGCTAACCAGTTTTTGCCAAAAATGATAAGCTTCGGTTATGTTGTTCTTTTTCCATTCTTTCAGAGTTGTCTGAAATGTGTTGATCACTGAAGTTTAAGTAAGTGTCCAAGCGATGAAAAGTGACACCGCAGGTTTCTACTGCACCATTCACTTTCCCTTTAAGATCTATGGACCACAGGGGAGTTAAATCCTTCTGAACAACCACGTCGTCATCGTCAAGAAGCAGGATTTTCTCTAACTTGGGGAAGATTATTGAGATGTAGAACCTCAAGAGATTAAGCATTGACTTGTAATTAGGGTACGCCAATACATTATCAGAGAAGAGGGCGTAGTGGTAATGATTTGGGTTCTCCAAATTCTCCCTTCTAGGAAAATTTCTCATTGGTGCAGGTAGGAGATAATACTCTAGAGTCAGGTGCATCTGGTAGTGTTCTGGAAGCCAGCAGAGACAAGAATTCTATACAAGCTTTTATGTACGCGAGTTCTTCTCTAGTTACTTGTAGTATTTCTCTCAGCGTAGTTGTCATAGTAGCCACCATTTGGTCCACATCTCTAACCGCATCAAGAACTCTGCTACAGTAGAAAAGGATCAAACTATTCAGAGTATATCATTTCATGACCCTCATCATAAGAACAATAAGTACTACTAATGACATTACCTCTGCTGTACAAATCAAACGATGAGTGGATGTGAAGTATATATGTAGCTGAGAGAGAAAGGTGGACGACGCGAGAAAGCAGAGAAACGCCACAATCACCGGGAACGAGCATCGACGGAGGTCCCTAAACCTAGATCTTCGTTCGGATCTCCCGGCCATTGGAGACACGATCGCCTAAAGTGAAATTGCACACTCTCCAAGACGCTTTTTCTTAGTTCCTCTCTCATCTATTTACCTCCAACGAGTTATTTCAAATTGGCATCTTTATAGGCAGCGAAGCCATAACGGCGTCGTTTAGCTTAAGCCAGGCTGGCAAACTCACGCCGTTGTTCAGTGAAAATCGTAACGTCGTCGTTTCACCTGATGGCTTAGAGAGATATCTAACGCGTCGTTTTAAAATAATGCCAGGCTGGCATCTAAAATGCCGTCAGATTATGCCTTATTGGGCTTATCAAATAAATATAAAGCCCAAAACTATTTACACACAAATATCTGACAATAAATAGTTAAAATCGAGTTTAACGAAAGATTCAGATCCTTATTCTTCTCCACCGGATCTCGATATCGGAGAATTAGCCAAACGATGGCCGCCGACGGAATATTCCGCAGCATCTTCGAAGGTTGTATCTCCGGCCTTGATTCCGCCATCGAGCGGCGTCCTTACCACAAAAACTGCGGATGTGCTCTCCACGATAAATCAAGCGGCGCTGGGAAAAATCAAAATCAACGACGGCCGCCGTCTTGTCGCCGCCACGGAAGCTCAGAGAGCATTTCGTTTCCGATCCGACGGTCTTGGAGCGAAGGCAACATCATGGCTATGAATCTCTTCTCCTCATCGTCGTCTTCTTCTAATCTCCAATCGCTTTCGTCGTCTTCTTCTCTCTCAAATCTGGCATCAGATTTACCGGTGGATGATGCTGCGACGGAGGAACCGAGCAGATCTAGTAAGCAGCTACGATGGACGATTGACGTCGTCATTACTCCTAAACGACGTCGTAACAAAAACGTAACAATTTCCTTTTTCTTTTTGGTAACATGTATAAAAGAAATTTCCTTTTTTATTGATCGAGTGATTTCCATATTTTAATATAACATGTGTATAAAAGAAATTTCCTTTTTGTTTTTCCGAAACGACCTAACATCTCCTCTGCTTATAAATATAGTCGTAGTCTCTTTTTACTTCTTCGAGAGAAATCAAAATTGTATCCCGAGAGAGAAAGTTCTAAAGCAAGCATAAGCAAAATTGTATCCCGAGAGAGAAAGTTCTAAAGCAAGCATATCTTTTCGTGTTCTTCTAAAGCTTTGAATCGCAACTATTTTCGTATGAATTTTTACTTTTAGTCGATTGTTCTCAACGATACTTGCCGTGGCGGTGGATGAGAGGCCGCAGCATGCGTCGATCATAATCTCCACAAACCCTATCACCGGAGAGAAGAAGGCCCAATTGTCGTTCACAATCACAGTCCTCCTTGTCTGTTTAAATTAGAGTTTATGCAGTTATGACTCAACAATAACACCAATCTCATAATTCTCTCTTTCTTGACTTGTAAGTAATCTCCAAAATCCTCTCAGCTTTTCTTTATTTTCTTATGTTTCTAAGTTAATTATTTATCCCTCTCAACCAATATTGACTCCTTTCTTCGTTTTATTCAATTTCAGCCTATTGGAAATTATCGCCTACTAAATTTGTGGACAAACACTATCATCAACGACACTTGTTCCCTGTAAGTTATTTCTTCTATTAGTCGAACAAGGTACCTCTTTTAATTTCCTTTTCTTCTCTTTTCTCTTAAGAAATATTTTGATTTTAGTATTTTAATTTTTTTTTTAATGTTTTGAGTTTTTTATTTTGTTTTTTATAAGTGTTAAATATTTTAATTTTGTGTAAACAAATTGGATACAACATCCAAACCCCTAAGAGGTGTTCTAGGTTCAATATGGTTTACACTTAATTAAATTTTTAACACTTGTTTTTTTACTAAAAAATGTTTTGTTTTTTTCTTGTTTTTTTTATAAGTGTTAATTTTTTTAATTTTGTGTAAACTAATTGGATACATCATCCAAACCCTAAGAGGTGTTCTAGGTTCAATATGGTTTACACATAATTAAATTTTTAACATTTGTTTTTTATAAATGTTTTGTTTTTTTTTGTTTTTTATAAGTGTTAATTTTTTTAATTTTGTGTAAACTAATTGGATACATCATCCAAACCCCTAAGAGGTGTTCTAGGTTCAATATGGTTTACACTTAATTAAATCTTTAACACTTGTTTTTTTATAAATGTTTTGTTTTATTTTTTTTTGTTTTTATGATAAGTGTTAAATATTTTAATTTTGTGTAAACTAATTGGATACATCATCCAAACCCCTAAGAGGTGTTCTAGGTTCAATATGGTTTACACTTAATTAAATTTTTAACATTTGTTTTTTTACTAAAAAATATTTTGTTTTTTTTTTTGTTTTTTTTATAAGTGTTAATTTTTTTAATTTTGTGTAAACTAATTGGATACATCATCCAAACCCCTAAGAGGTGTTCTAGGTTCAATATGGTTTACACATTATTAAATTTTTAACACTTGTGTTTTTTTTTAAATGTTTTTTTTTTATAAGTGTATTTAAACATGGCATTTCAAAGCTCTTATTGGTACTTTAGTAAGTCTTCCAAGTATGAATCTTTTAGTCATTTCAAGTCAAAATGAGCCAAACCCCTAAACACAACAACCAAGCTAGAAGATAGTTTGTACATCAATATAAAGGCAACTTTCATATGGATCACTTTAGAGTATTCATTCTATAGATGTTTTATACCTTGACAATCATTACTTACATATATGCATTATGTATCTAACAAGGTTGTCTTCCTCACTGAAACAGCCTGCAACTAAAGAGGTAGGGATGATCAAAGTTGATGTACCTAGTCCAATATGGCTGATACTTTTTTCTTTTTTTTTTTTTTTTTTTGCATATAAATCAACGAAACTGATACAGGGAGGCCATCAAGGCAAACGAAACCTACAAAAGAAATGTATAACAGCTGAGTATATCAGCCATATTTTGTAGGCAAACGAAACCTACAAAATATGGCTGATACTTGGTCACTCCCAGCTCTTTCCATGGTTTTAAGGGTCCATTGAAATGTATAACAGCTGAGTTTGCAATCTCCTTTTCATCAATTTCTTTATCATAACCCAATCCAAGTAAGTGCCATTTTCTCTCAAGCGGTAAAGTCAGATTGTAGAACATTATGAGCCCAGCTGGCAAAGTTTCAAGTTCCCACAGAGTCTGATTTTCATTCTGCAAAACAGATAAATGACGGATCGATTATAACTTAATCTGCATTTGGAGATGAATGATGAGTATCAAGTATCAAGAAGAAGAGCTAACCAGTTTTTGCCAAAAATGATAAGCTTCGGTTATGTTGTTCTTTTTCCATTCTTTCAGAGTTGTCTGAAATGTGTTGATCACTGAAGTTTAAGTAAGTGTCCAAGCGATGAAAAGTGACACCGCATGTTTCTACTGCACCATTCACTTTCCCTTTAAGATCTATGGACCACAGGGGAGTTAAATCCTTCTGAACAACCACGTCGTCATCGTCAAGAAGCAGGATTTTCTCTAACTTGGGGAAGATTATTGAGATGTAGAACCTCAAGAGATTAAGCATTGACTTGTAATTAGGGTACGCCAATACATTATCAGAGAAGAGGGCGTAGTGGTAATGATTTGGGTTCTCCAAATTCTCCCTTCTAGGAAAATTTCTCATTGGTGCAGGTAGGAGATAATACTCTAGAGTCAGGCGCATCTGGTAGTGTTCTGGAAGCCAGCAGAGACAAGAATTCTATACAAGCTTTTATGTACGCGAGTTCTTCTCTAGTTACTTGTAGTATTTCTCTCAGCGTAGTTGTCATAGTAGCCACCATTTGGTCCACATCTCTAACCGCATCAAGAACTCTGCTACAGTAGAAAAGGATCAAACTATTCAGAGTATATCATTTCATGACCCTCATCATAAGAACAATAAGTACTACTAATGACATTACCTCTGCTGTACAAATCAAACGATGAGTGGATGTGAAGTATATATGTAGCTGAGAGAGAAAGGTGGACGACGCGAGAAAGCAGAGAAACGCCACAATCACCGGGAACGAGCATCGACGGAGGTCCCTAAACCTAGATCTTCGTTCGGATCTCCCGGCCATTGGAGACACGATCGCCTAAAGTGAAATTGCACACTCTCCAAGACGCTTTTTCTTAGTTCCTCTCTCATCTATTTACCTCCAACGAGTTATTTCAAATTGGCATCTTTATAGGCAGCGAAGCCATAACGGCGTCGTTTAGCTTAAGCCAGGCTGGCAAACTCACGCCGTTGTTCAGTGAAAATCGTAACGTCGTCGTTTCACCTGATGGCTTAGAGAGATATCTAACGCGTCGTTTTAAAATAATGCCAGGCTGGCATCTAAAATGCCGTCAGATTATGCCTTATTGGGCTTATCAAATAAATATAAAGCCCAAAACTATTTACACACAAATATCTGACAATAAATAGTTAAAATCGAGTTTAACGAAAGATTCAGATCCTTATTCTTCTCCACCGGATCTCGATATCGGAGAATTAGCCAAACGATGGCCGCCGACGGAATATTCCGCAGCATCTTCGAAGGTTGTATCTCCGGCCTTGATTCCGCCATCGAGCGGCGTCCTTACCACAAAAACTGCGGATGTGCTCTCCACGATAAATCAAGCGGCGCTGGGAAAAATCAAAATCAACGACGGCCGCCGTCTTGTCGCCGCCACGGAAGCTCAGAGAGCATTTCGTTTCCGATCCGACGGTCTTGGAGCGAAGGCAACATCATGGCTATGAATCTCTTCTCCTCATCGTCGTCTTCTTCTAATCTCCAATCGCTTTCGTCGTCTTCTTCTCTCTCAAATCTGGCATCAGATTTACCGGTGGATGATGCTGCGACGGAGGAACCGAGCAGATCTAGTAAGCAGCTACGATGGACGATTGACGTCGTCATTACTCCTAAACGACGTCGTAACAAAAACGTAACAATTTCCTTTTTCTTTTTGGTAACATGTATAAAAGAAATTTCCTTTTTTATTGATCGAGTGATTTCCATATTTTAATATAACATGTGTATAAAAGAAATTTCCTTTTTGTTTTTCCGAAACGACCTAACATCTCCTCTGCTTATAAATATAGTCGTAGTCTCTTTTTACTTCTTCGAGAGAAATCAAAATTGTATCCCGAGAGAGAAAGTTCTAAAGCAAGCATAAGCAAAATTGTATCCCGAGAGAGAAAGTTCTAAAGCAAGCATATCTTTTCGTGTTCTTCTAAAGCTTTGAATCGCAACTATTTTCGTATGAATTTTTACTTTTAGTCGATTGTTCTCAACGATACTTGCCGTGGCGGTGGATGAGAGGCCGCAGCATGCGTCGATCATAATCTCCACAAACCCTATCACCGGAGAGAAGAAGGCCCAATTGTCGTTCACAATCACAGTCCTCCTTGTGTGTTTAAATTAGAGTTTATGCAGTTATGACTCAACAATAACACCAATCTCATAATTCTCTCTTTCTTGACTTGTAAGTAATCTCCAAAATCCTCTCAGCTTTTCTTTATTTTCTTATGTTTCTAAGTTAATTATTTATCCCTCTCAACCAATATTGACTCCTTTCTTCGTTTTATTCAATTTCAGCCTATTGGAAATTATCGCCTACTAAATTTGTGGACAAACACTATCATCAACGACACTTGTTCCCTGTAAGTTATTTCTTCTATTAGTCGAACAAGGTACCTCTTTTAATTTCCTTTTCTTCTCTTTTCTCTTAAGAAATATTTTGATTTTAGTATTTTAATTTTTTTTTTAATGTTTTGAGTTTTTTATTTTGTTTTTTATAAGTGTTAAATATTTTAATTTTGTGTAAACAAATTGGATACAACATCCAAACCCCTAAGAGGTGTTCTAGGTTCAATATGGTTTACACTTAATTAAATTTTTAACACTTGTTTTTTTACTAAAAAATGTTTTGTTTTTTTCTTGTTTTTTTTATAAGTGTTAATTTTTTTAATTTTGTGTAAACTAATTGGATACATCATCCAAACCCCTAAGAGGTGTTCTAGGTTCAATATGGTTTACACATAATTAAATTTTTAACACTTGTTTTTTATAAATGTTTTGTTTTTTTTTGTTTTTTATAAGTGTTAATTTTTTTAATTTTGTGTAAACTAATTGGATACATCATCCAAACCCCTAAGAGGTGTTCTAGGTTCAATATGGTTTACACTTAATTAAATCTTTAACACTTGTTTTTTTATAAATGTTTTGTTTTATTTTTTTTTGTTTTTATGATAAGTGTTAAATATTTTAATTTTGTGTAAACTAATTGGATACATCATCCAAACCCCTAAGAGGTGTTCTAGGTTCAATATGGTTTACACTTAATTAAATTTTTAACACTTGTTTTTTTACTAAAAAATATTTTGTTTTTTTTTTTGTTTTTTTTATAAGTGTTAATTTTTTTAATTTTGTGTAAACTAATTGGATACATCATCCAAACCCCTAAGAGGTGTTCTAGGTTCAATATGGTTTACACATAATTAAATTTTTAACACTTGTTTTTTATAAATGTTTTGTTTTTTTTTTGTTTTTTATAAGTGTTAATTTTTTTAATTTTGTGTAAACTAATTGGATACATCATCCAAACCCCTAAGAGGTGTTCTAGGTTCAATATGGTTTACACTTAATTAAATCTTTAACACTTGTTTTTTTATAAATGTTTTGTTTTATTTTTTTTTGTGGGTATGATAAGTGTTAAATATTTTAATTTTGTGTAAACTAATTGGATACATCATCCAAACTCCTAAGAGGTGTTCTAGGTTCAATATGGTTTACACTTAATTAAATTTTTAACACTTGTTTTTTTACTAAAAAATATTTTGTTTTTTTTTTGTTTTTTTTATAAGTGTTAATTTTTTTAATTTTGTGTAAACTAATTGGATACATCATCCAAACCCCTAAGAGATGTTCTAGGTTCAATATGGTTTACACATTATTAAATTTTTAACACTTGTTTTTTTTTTTAAATGTTTTTTTTTTTATAAGTGTATTTAAACATGGCATTTCAAAGCTCTTATTGGTACTTTAGTAAGTCTTCCAAATATGAATCTTTTAGTCATTTCAAGTCAAAATGAGCCAAACCCCTAAACACAACAACCAAGCTAGAAGATAGTTTGTACATCAATATAAAGGCAACTTTCATATGGATCACTTTAGAGTATTCATTCTATAGATGTTTTATACCTTGACAATCATTACTTACATATATGCATTATGTATCTAACAAGGTTGCCTTCTTCACTGAAACAGCCTGCAACTAAAGAGGTAGGGATGATCAAAGTTGATGTACCTAGTCCAATATGGCTGATACTTTTTTCTTTTTTTTTTTTTTTTTTTGCATATAAATCAACGAAACTGATACAGGGAGGCCATCAAGGCAAACGGAACCTACAAAAGAAATGTATAACAGCTGAGTATATCAGCCATATTTTGTAGGCAAACGAAACCTACAAAATATGGCTGATACTTGGTCACTCCCAGCTCTTTCCATGGTTTTAAAGGTCCATTGAAATGTATAACAGCTGAGTTTGCAATCTCCTTTTCATCAATTTCTTTATCATAACCCAATCCAAGTAAGTGCCATTTTCTCTCAAGCGGTAAAGTCAGATTGTAGAACATTATGAGCCCAACTGGCAAAGTTTCAAGTTCCCACAGAGTCTGATTTTCATTCTGCAAAACAGATAAATGACGGATCGATTATAACTTAATCTGCATTTGGAGATGAATGATGAGTATCAAGTATCAAGAAGAAGAGCTAACCAGTTTTTGCCAAAAATGATAAGCTTCGGTTATGTTGTTCTTTTTCCATTCTTTCAGAGTTGTCTGAAATGTGTTGATCACTGAAGTTTAAGTAAGTGTCCAAGCGATGAAAAGTGACACCGCAGGTTTCTACTGCACCATTCACTTTCCCTTTAAGATCTATGGACCACAGGGGAGTTAAATCCTTCTGAACAACCACGTCGTCATCGTCAAGAAGCAGGATTTTCTCTAACTTGGGGAAGATTATTGAGATGTAGAACCTCAAGAGATTAAGCATTGACTTGTAATTAGGGTACGCCAATACATTATCAGAGAAGAGGGCGTAGTGGTAATGATTTGGGTTCTCCAAATTCTCCCTTCTAGGAAAATTTCTCATTGGTGCAGGTAGGAGATAATACTCTAGAGTCAGGCGCATCTGGTAGTGTTCTGGAAGCCAGCAGAGACAAGAATTCTATACAAGCTTTTATGTACGCGAGTTCTTCTCTAGTTACTTGTAGTATTTCTCTCAGCGTAGTTGTCATAGTAGCCACCATTTGGTCCACATCTCTAACCGCATCAAGAACTCTGCTACAGTAGAAAAGGATCAAACTATTCAGAGTATATCATTTCATGACCCTCATCATAAGAACAATAAGTATTACTAATGACATTACCTCTGCTGTACAAATCAAACGATGAGTGGATGTGAAGTATATATGTAGCTGAGAGAGAAAGGTGGACGACGCGAGAAAGCAGAGAAACGCCACAATCACCGGGAACGAGCATCGACGGAGGTCCCTAAACCTAGATCTTCGTTCGGATCTCCCGGCCATTGGAGACACGATCGCCTAAAGTGAAATTGCACACTCTCCAAGACGCTTTTTCTTAGTTCCTCTCTCATCTATTTACCTCCAACGAGTTATTTCAAATTGGCATCTTTATAGGCAGCGAAGCCATAACGGCGTCGTTTAGCTTAAGCCAGGCTGGCAAACTCACGCCGTTGTTCAGTGAAAATCGTAACGTCGTCGTTTCACCTGATGGCTTAGAGAGATATCTAACGCATCGTTTTAAAATAATGCCAGGCTGGCATCTAAAATGCCGTCAGATTATGCCTTATTGGGCTTATCAAATAAATATAAAGCCCAAAACTATTTACACACAAATATCTGACAATAAATAGTTAAAATCGAGTTTAACGAAAGATTCAGATCCTTATTCTTCTCCACCGGATCTCGATATCGGAGAATTAGCCAAACGATGGCCGCCGACGGAATATTCCGCAGCATCTTCGAAGGTTGTATCTCCGGCCTTGATTCCGCCATCGAGCGGCGTCCTTACCACAAAAACTGCGGATGTGCTCTCCACGATAAATCAAGCGGCGCTGGGAAAAATCAAAATCAACGACGGCCGCCGTCTTGTCGCCGCCACGGAAGCTCAGAGAGCATTTCGTTTCCGATCCGACGGTCTTGGAGCGAAGGCAACATCATGGCTATGAATCTCTTCTCCTCATCGTCGTCTTCTTCTAATCTCCAATCGCTTTCGTCGTCTTCTTCTCTCTCAAATCTGGCATCAGATTTACCGGTGGATGATGCTGCGACGGAGGAACCGAGCAGATCTAGTAAGCAGCTACGATGGACGATTGACGAAGGTGAAGATGATTGATGTGATTGCTGATGATGATCAATTCCAGGTTGTTAATTTTTGCTAATCTCTGTTTAATTAATTTTCTTAATAATTGTATTTGAGGACAAAATAAATAAAAAAAACTGTGTGTCTTGTATTTTTATTTTTTTGTAAAAGAAACGAAAACGTTTGACGGTTGTTTACAATTGAAATTTTGAATGATTAGCATATAAACTTGTGGAGAGGTTGATTTAGCAACTTTAGCAAAAGTAATTAAGGAGTCTGTGTTGATCAAATTCGTTAATACAGTAAAATGTGTTTGTGAAACTTCAAATCTTTGGCAATGAAGCATCTCTCGTTCCTGTAATTATAGTAACACATTCATCGACACAACATTGAATATAATCATATCATTAATCGTTAGTCAAGAACATAAATATTCACTCCATAAAACACATAATAAATTAGTGACATTCATCAAAACGTTGAAGACTTCAAACATTTCAGCATTTCCTTCACGCACGTGAGTTCCGACAAAGAGGACACGAACCATGAATCTTGAGCCATACATCAATACATTTCACGTGAAAGCAATGGTCACATTCCGGTATGAACCGTACGGTCTCTTTGCTTGCATACTCTGATAAACAAATCGGACATACAATACCATTAGTCCCGGAAATCCTCCTACTTTCTCCCAACTCCATTTTCTTGAATGTTTCGATCGTAGATTGGTCGAGACCCCTCGTGGTCATAACCTCTCTTGGCTGCTGCATCACGGTCGCGGCTGCGATAGCTAGGGAATCGAAGCTTTCGGAGTTGTAAAGGCGGATAGCGATACAAGTAGGAAAGACAAAGACGGTGACTGCTGACAAGCTTATAACTAGTACCAGTACTCCACTACTTAAATGACCTGTCAAAAAGCCAATTAAAGTTTTAAACCATCAATAAAAATAAAGTTTACTTAGATTAGATCAAATGCCATGCTAGTAGTGTCACTAAGGCGTTACACGGAGTCGGACATTTTAATTTTTGCGTGTGGAATGAGAGATACTTCCGTAGTTGGTGTAAAATATTGGATTTGTTAAAAGGTAGTTATTTCCTCATGTCAAATTTAAATCCTATAGTAATAATCAAGAGTTATTTCCTCATGTCAAATTTAAATCCTACTATGATTTTTCAAAACTTGAAAAAATCTTAACCTAAAGAAAATAACTTGAGGTTGAAAATTTCCACCAAAACAGATAACCTCTTCTTCATCCTTACCATCAATGGAGTTCTTTTGGATCGTAAGGGAAAAAAAAAAAAAAAGAGCAAGAGAAAACGATTGAGTTAGTACCGGATTTTTTAGCATCAAAGCATTTGATTTCGAGGGATGCCTTGTTCTTAAATCCACATCTCAAGTAATCTACCTCACAACCTCTGCAATCAGGCGAGTCCCACTCCAACAGGAGGTTTTGATTGTTGAGGTAACTCGAGAATCTTGTTTCTCCAAATGGCGAATTAGAGGGAACATGTAATCTCTTCACGATCTGACAAGAAGGTAGCATAGACTGTGCAAGAGCAAAATTAGACGTGGCGAAGAAGGATGAAGTAGAATTGCTTAGGCAAGGAATGGATGGATACCAAGACGGCAACACGACCTCATTAGGACAAGTCAAGAATGTGTAGAAGATCTCGAAGCGAGGAGAGAAAGGAGATCCTGAAATATTGAAGGTTAAAAGCCGTTTAGCCAAACAGTTTTCAGGGTCGTTGATATAAATCTTTTGCCTTCTGTAGTCGATATCATGGACAAGAAATGTTCCGGACATAGGAAGTTCTAGGACTGTCTTATTGAGATCGGTACAGTGGAGATTGAATTGTGCATGGTCACAGAAAGGAAAACGAATGGGGACATCTAAGGGTCCACATCTGAGTGGCCTTGAAAAAGAAGAAGAACATTTATTAGGGTTTGAGGCGTGTCGGAGAGGGAAGAGGAAGAGGAAGAGGAAAATTAAAGTGAAAAGTTGTTTTGAGAATGTCATAATGTTATTCGATACTATCGAAAATGTTACCAGTATTAAACGAAAATTTATTAAAGAGTTTAACCATTCTTATACGTAGTTAAGAAAGTCAGAAAAGTCTACCTTTTTAGAAGAAAAGTCAAAAGAAGTAGTGTACGTTCCATAAATGGAATGTGTCATTTGATTGTATAACAACTACTATAAATCATAAACCCAACGATATTGGAATTTATAAGAAAACAGCTGATATTAATTTTATCACCAACAAGTTTTTTGAAAATGAATAATTTAAATTTCATGTATACTACATAGACCAATGGTTGATAATAATTTAAAATGATTTTTTTATAAGAAAGATGACATAAAATCTTAGATCCAATCGCCACACAGTTGCAAAAATCCTCGTCGTGATCATAGTAGTATCCATCTTGGATTTTAAATCCCTTCGAGATTAGAATCCCTGAATCATAAAATATATTTGCTCGCATAAACGTAGTCTGATAAACAAATATGACAAACGATATCGTTAATCCTTAAACAATCACATAATCTTCATACGTTTATTAAAAACACACAATAATTTTTTGTTTGTTTGTTAAAGAACACAATAATTAGTGGCATTCGATAACACGTTCATACATTTCAGCATTTCCTTCACGCGCTTGAGTTCCGACAAAGAGGGCATGAACCATGAATCTTGAGCCACACATCAATACATTCTACTTTCTCCCAACTCCATTGTCTTGTATGTTTCTATTGTAGATTGGTCAAGACCCCTCCTGGCCATAACCTCTATTGGTTGTCCGCTCGGAGAATTGAACCTCCGGGAGTTGCACATACAGAACATACAGATACAAGCAGCAAAGAGGAGGGCTCCTCCGATTATGGACAAAATTATAAGTACTGCTACTACTCCACTGCTTATATGACCTGCCAAGTGCCCATTAATGAAAAAAAGAGTTGAGACTTAATTAGGTTTCCAATCAACAAAAACGGTTTTGGTTCGCTTTCTACTACGTACACTGCCGATGGGACTTAGGCTTCCAACGGAGTAATTTGCGCGTGGTTGAGAATACTTCCGTAGTTGAGGGGAAATAATATATTGGATTTGAAATTTTCTTAAAACGCAATTAAATAATCAATAGTCCAATTATGCTTTTCCGATACTTGCTTATTGAGTAAATAATTTACTTGGAAAACGTAAACCTAAATATTTCTTGGAGTTGACGAAAACAGAGTGCATCTTCTTCATCCTTACCCATTAATGGAGTTATCTTGGGTCACAAGGAATGAAGAACAAGGGAATAAAAAAAGTGAGTTCGTACCGGATTTTTTAGCACCAAAGCATTTTACTCCGAGGGAGGCTTTGTTCTTGAATCCACATCTCAAGTTATCTATCTCACAATCTCTGCAATCAGGCGAGTCCCACTTCAACACGAGGCTTTGATTGTTGAAGTAACTCGAGAATCTTGTTTCTCTAAACGGCGAATTAACCGGAACATGTAATCTCTTCACGATCTGACAAGAAGGAAGCATAGACTGTGCAAGAGTAAGATTAGGTGTGGCGAAGAAGGAGGAAGTAGAATTGCTTAGGCAAGAAATGGACGGATACCAAGACGGTAACACGGCCTCATTAGGACAAGTCAAGAACGTGTATAAGATATCAAAGCGAGGAGAGAAAGGAGATCCTGAAATATTGAAGGTTAAAAGCCGTTTAGCCAAACAGTTATCAGGGTCGTTGATATAATTAAATCTGTTGCTTTATGTAGTCGATATACTGAACAAAAAATATTCCGGACATAGGAAGTTCTAGGACTGTATTTTTGAGATTGGTGCAGAGGATACTGAATCGCGCATGGTCACAGAAAGGGAATCGGATGGGGACTTCTAAGGGTCCACATCTGTGTGGTCTCGAAATAGAAGAAGAACATTTATTAGTCTTTGAGGCCTGTCGGAGAGGGAAGAGGAAGCAGAGGACGAAAAATAAAGGGAAAAGTTGTTTTGGAAATGTCATAATGTTGTTTGATGTACTAAGGAAAATGTTATTACTAGTTGATATTAAACGAAGATTCTGTTAAAGAGTTTAACCATTCCCATTCAGAGAAGTCTACGTTTTTTAGAAGAAAAGTCAAGGAAGTGTGTATGTTCCAATTCTATAAATGGAATATGTCGTTGGATAAACTACATAATCATAAACCCAGTTTATTGGAATCTTTAAGAATTAATATCTTATCACCAAAAAAATTTTGAAATTGGATTCAAAGTACAAATTTCATGTATACTAAATAATAGACCATATGGTTTAAGATCACATCTATTAATATCCTCTCTTGTCACTTTTTCTTTGCATAGATAAAGATACTTCTTTTGCTATGCATCTTTTTCAGTATGGTTAGTTTTTGCAATACATAAACAAAGCTTGAAATAAAGATAAGAGTATAACTATAATCAAAAGTGTAAAAAAAGTGAATTGTAAACAAATATAATCGGCTATTACATCCACTACAATCTTAATCAGCTAGCTTGACGCGCTGGAGAAGGAGAATTCCGACAAAGAGGACATGAACCATGAATCTTAAGCCACACATCTATACATTCAATGTGGAAGCAATGATCACATTCCGGTATGCACCGCACGGTCTCTTTGCTAACATACTCCGATAAACAAATGGGGCAAACAATATCATTAGTTCCCGGTAATCTTCTACTCTCTCCTAATTCCATTTTCTTATATGATTCTATTGTAGACTCGTCAAGGCCCGTCGTGATTATAACCTCGTTTGGCTGCAAGGCGGCGATAGCCACGTTGCGTTGTATCCGGGAAGCGAATCTTTCAGAGGTGCAAACTCCGATTGCAATACACGTAGCAAAGATCATGACCGGTCCAATTATGCTCAGGATCATAATTTTAAGCACTTGTAGTCTCGTGTTGTTGTTGCCTGCCAAAATCATGTTTCCAAAGATCAATTTAATTAGTCCACCATGTACGTATTGTTTTATCTTTGTTTTCAACAAAACTGGTGATAACACAACCAACTAGCACACATTAATAAACAATACGTCATGTTTACATATTATTCTTTTATATTCGTAATATAAGGGTTTATAAAATAAATAAAAAAATTTAAGGGGTTTATATACAGAGTACGACATTCTAACGTGTGACATGAAAAGATTGGATTTGATCTTTTGAAAAATGTAATTAAATAATTAACTAATCAATAGTCAATGGCTCAATGTCAAATGTAATGCCTACTAGATTTTTTGTCTAGTTGTTTAATGAGTGGATAATTATTTGCAAAACCCCCCAATAATCAAAGATTCCTTCAATTTGAAGGTTCCGCAACTATTAATGAAGTAATAAGACCTAAGAAGAGAAAGAATTGGAGTAATTGGTACCGGATTTTTCAAATGGGAAGCATTTGACTTGGAGAGAAGTATTGCTTATGAATCCACATCTCAAATAATCCCTCTCACAATTGCTACAACTTGGTGAATCCCATTTCAGCCAAAGGTCTTTATCGTTGACATCAGTCGAGAATCTTGATTTTCCGGCAGTAACTCGCCGAGAAACCGGAATAGTTGATGTCTTGACGATCTGACAAGAAGGCAGCATAGATTTTGCGAGATCCAAACTAGTTGTAGCCAAGAACGAGGTCGTTGAATTGCCTAAACATGGGATGGAGTCAAACCTGGACGACTTTGCTACCTCATTAGGACAGCTCAAGAACGTGTAGCTGGCAAGGTAGAGAGCAGAGAAAGGGGATCCTGATATGTCAAAGGTCAAAAGCTTTCTTGCCAAGCAACTTTCAGGGTCATGGAGACGAATCTGCTGGCTTATATAGTCGATCTCTCGGACAAGAAATGTTCCGAAATTAGGAAGCTTGAGAGCTGTCGTGAGACTACTTGTGCATTGAAGATTAAATCCGGCATGGCCACAGAACTCCTGTTGTTTCGAGAGTAACCAAAAAGGGAAACGGACATGGACATCGTCAAGACCGCACGAGGAAGAAGAGCATTGATTTGTGTGTGAAGCGTGTAGGAGAGGGAAGAGGAAGAAGAGGTAAAGAAAGAGTTGTTTTGAGAAAGTCATATTGTGGTTTTGGTAATGGGAGGGACATGAAGACTTGTTATTATTTCCCTTAATATAAATAGTTCAAACTTGAGAGAGATCTATCTTTTTTAGTCGGAGGATCTATAGAAAGGTCGTACTTGTTCTCTTTAGATGATGCTCGCTAACAAACAAACCTTGTGCTACAGGAGGAGCGGATTTAATATGAAAGTAACGATTGTGAATTGATTCTGCTCATCTTTTTGCTTATTCCTCTGACTCTTTCCCATCGATTTGGCTTTTGAAGTTCCTGAAAGAGTTTGTAAGGTTTGAAGAAAGAGTTAAGGACTGACTTTAGTGACAGTTTTGGGTTTTGATCTCAATTCATTGCTTCTTAACAGAGAGACATGTATAGCGTAGAAAAGAGCCAAATGTTACAAAGAGAGAAAACTATTGTAAACACTTAAATTGTCATTACCATGAAATATGTCTGAGTGAAGTTAACAAAACACCTTGAACATGTCCAAAGAATGACAGAAATGAAAGAGTTTAAAAAATACAAAAGCCAACAGGTTTATAAAAAGCAAACCAAAGAGTATATACCAGAGTTTTGAGTTAAACAAGAACCAATTTTAGTGTTCCTGAGAGTGATCGAGATGGTAATCCATCACATCGGAAAGAGCTTCGAGGAATGCAGCTTCGCTCGTCCCTGGAAGCACCGCTTCTTGAGCTTCCTCTACCATTTCCTCCACTAGAGACTTCTTGCTAAGTGTTTCTCTGCACATTATGGTTCCAATCTCAAATGCTGTTAGTCCTCTTTCCACTCCTTTCTTCAGTAGCATCGTTGAGATTCTGAGCGTTCGAGCCGTCTCTGCCGGCATTTTCCATCCATGGAACTTCAGTAGATCGATATCTTCCTCTGCATCCAGTGATCTTATGTAGTCTCGAGTCTCTGCAGAGTACGGTTTCCGGGCTTGTGGCCAATATAGCCACTCAAACGTGCAGTCTTCAAACTGTTGTAGGAAACAAAAGTTAGTTTCATGACAATGTCAACAATATAAACAAAACTGAATCAAAGAAAGAATAGAAAAAGAGTAAGAGAACTTACGCTTTCAGGCAAGCAGTATCCATGGTCTATAGGAACCAAAACAAGCTTTCCGTTTTCGTCCTTGGTCATCAAAATGTTCCCACCATGTCTGTCTGCATTGGCCAGTCTAATATCCAGCACAGAAATCTTATGAACTTCTTCAACTGGAAATGAAAGTGGACCCATATCTTCACAGCTGCCATCGTTCTCGGTAAACATCTGAAGTGACCCGATCTTGGTTTTGATTCCTTTGGGATGGTTAAACCCAGGATGCAGACATTCAATCATAGCTGTGGGAGGTACACCAGCAAAACCTATCTCTTCACCAGACATAGATCTGTTTCCAATTTTGGGATGATCCAAAATGTAAGCAGCGACTTCCCTTAATGCACCTTCTCCAACCTTTGTTCCTTTCTTCAAACCTTCACCGTTTGGCGAAAGTGGTAAACCCTGTGGATTGTTTTCAGCCATTGGTTCCTCATCTATTGGCTTAAACACACCAACAAATTTGTTGCCTGATGGACCCTGCATGAAATAAGCTCCTCCCGTGCCTTCTCTTGACCTGACCGGAGAATTCCCACTTTTTAGTCCATCAGAAGCAGACTTAATCATATCTTTAACCACCAGAGGTACTTTAGCCTTGGAGTTAACAATTACCGGCTCCAAAGAGAGCTTTTTTGGTGGCACAATTCTGTCAGCTTCACGACCTTTCTTATCTTTTGCTTGTGGGGCAACAATAGACAACTCAAAGTTCTTCTCCACCGGTTTAGCTCGAACTTTAGCAGATCTCCGCACAAGCAGATGCAAAACCGAGTCATCGTTTCTGCAAATGTCATTAATAAGACTCTGGTCTTCCAACTTCTCACCTTCGTAAAGAAGTTCCTGTTCATCAGGATCAACAAAGTCTCCACGCTTTTTAGAAATCTGCTTCTTCACATAACCAATGTTTCTGCCTCTCTCGACATGAAACCTGCAGTGTTTCCCACAGGTAGTCTTAACATCAAGAACCTGAAGATCAGAGAGCTTAAGAACCAAGTGAAGAATATTCCCTTCACTAACACCGTAATCACGCATATTAGAATTGCTTCTAGCTAGCTCTCGTCCACCGAAAACAAGCTTCTGATTCCTCACAACAAAGCCGCGATAAGACTGAATCCGAAGCTTAACAGACTCAATGGAATCAGACTCAAGCACACGCATCGGTATCACCGTCCCGGGAAGTGTAAGGTAAATCATGATGGTATCGTCAGGGTAAGAATCAGCACAAGAATTGGCACGAACCAGAGGCATAATCAATGGCTCGCTACGAACCGGACTTAACGCAACACCAGCTGATGACATCCTTTCTTTTCAATTCTTGGAGAAATCTAAGAAATTGTTACGGAAAAAAACAGGATTCGATACAAAATCCCGCAAGCTTATATACAAAAACCGCAATAATCCCTAAAATCCCAAATTCATCGCTTCTTCTTCTTCTTCTTCTTCTTCTTATTGCAGAAACAACAAGAACAACAACAAGCCCTAGGAAAAAACAGAGGAGATCAAACCTAAACAGATCAGAGGTTGATTGATTGATTGCTACAGGTGAATCAAATCGAGAGAAGAGGAGAACCAATTGATGTCGTCGATGACCTACCATAAAATAAAAGAGAGAGCGGATTCTTACCAGAAGGAAAGAACCAAAGAGGAAATTGGGACAAGGCGTGGAGCTTTATCGATGATCCAATCCAATAATAGAGAGTTTTTAGGGTTAAATCCAATGGCGTACGAAAGAGCTCGCAATGGTCAAAGACTTTAGAGGAAAGAGAGAGGTTTTTCAAAAGGAAAGTGGTAGGAAGGACACGTGTCTCCACCTCCTTTGCGTACAATGAAGCTTCTTCTTCTTTTATGTTCACTTTTCCTTTGTTTATTATTGTCAATGGTGTACGGCAGTTTCGTTGATTTTTACCCTTTTACGGTAATATTCATTTTTCCATAACTTTTTACCTTGGAGTGGAAACCAAGCCAGAGAGACTTAGGGGTTAATATCGTCATTATATCACCGTTTAGGCTTAGGATGGGTTTTAAGACTTTGGTTACGGAAGTTTCCGAGTCAATGAACCAGTACAATCGTAACTCATATGGGCCTACAGATTAAGAGTTGGGTCTTTAATTCGTTTTCAGATCTCTCTGTTCTATTCAACGTTTCAGCTATTGAGCATGAATATTGGTACGGTTGCATTGTTAACCAGGTTCATGCACATCTAATAAGACTCAATTTGCTAGCATAGCTTATTTCTTTGAGATCTCATGTTTGTTTGATCAAAAGTAACATCGAGAATTCTCTGTATGTGACTTCTTGACAGTCTTCATCACCCAAGAGGATCACACCAGATCCAAAAACAAGAAAACCTTTCAGCAGTTGTAAATAATCCAAAAACCACATCTTTCTACTATCAAACTCAATCGTTGATCTACAACAGCTTACCCGAGTCTCTCAAACTGCAGATTACATTAAAGCTAGATTTCGAATAAAGAAATGCAAACACTTGTGTGATTAAAGTCTACTATGTTTACAGCCATAACTAGCAATGCAAACATAGTGACCAAACACTGCAGATTACATTAATGCTCTACTATGTTTACAGCCACAACTAGCAATTGTGATCAAAGCTGAGTAAAGGTTTCGTTATTCAATCAAAAGCTTAAAATAGTCTTCAAAGCCTCAGGAACAATACTCCTGACTCAAAACAGGAAAGCAAAACAGACTTACAATTCCACTTAAGCCTTACAAATACACCAAACTTGAAAGAAAGAAAAAAACCCATAAACTGAACCAACACACAACGGAAGCTTCAAGGTAAAACGATGCGATATTGCATCATGTTCTTATTCATAAAACAAAGAAGATAAAAGGAAAGACTTTTTTTTTTTTAGCCCACTATTCATTAACAGGTGATGATCGAGTGAGTGTTCCTTAGATCCCAAAAGATGTTTCAGAGAAGAAACAAGACAATATCTTTGATAACGATAATCTGGAACAGTCCCAAAGAGATCACCATCAAATTCCTTGTCATTTCTTGGTGAACATAATCCGCCAAAATCTCTTCCATTCCTTCATGTATGTGAAAGAGTATAGGGATTTTGCGTAAGAAAGAGGCGTTAGTGTAACCTCGAGAAGACGAGAGACGCGAGAATTTGGCTGCCTTGTTGACATCAGATTGCCCAATAGAAGACGATATCGAACGATCGGTGACCAGATTGGTTGACTCTGGTTTCAGTTTCTGGGCTAGTGCGAATGGGATTGAAGAGATGTCTCTTCCCAGTGGGTTTCTCACGGCGGACGCGGAGGAGATGTGACTCATCGAGAAAGGTAGAGACTTTGAGAGAGAGGCTCTCTGGGTTTGACGGTGGAGATCGAGGATAGTGCGACGGAGAGACATCGTGGTGGAGGAGAGAATCAGACGGAGAAGGAACTGAAATCGGATCTGATCGGAGAAATAACCCTAAGTGAAATGAATCGGAGCACAATCTTCGTCGTAGAGGTGAAGAAGCATTTACGAATATGGGCTTTGTCCTGGGCTTTGTAGCATTACTAGAAGCCCAAAATCAAAATAGAAAACTAGAGGAAAAGTAACCAAGCAAAATGTGAGATGAGATGGAAAAGCTAATATCAGAGCAAATTGCATAGTAGTGGACTAGTGGATCAATAAATAGATTTCTAATATTTTAAGCTCATTTAATAGTATTTTTAGCTCAATCTCTTGAAATATCAATATTTCATGAACAATATACAAGATTTGTGTCACTTCAGAATTTCAAATGTACGTGAACAATGTACAGGATAAATCTTCAGAATTTCAAATGTACGTGAACAATGTACAGGATAAATCTTAACTAGTTATATATATATATATATATATATTTTTTTTTTTGAATAACCGTGGATCTTTCAAAGGCTTCCTAGGCCCAAGGACTAATCACACGAGGCTGACAATTCCCCTATGTAAACATGCTAGTGGCCGTGCTTCGAATCGTGGTGGCGGAAGTCACAGCTGTGACCCCTTTACCACTAGATTACAAGGCCCGGTTAATCTTAACTAGTTATAACTCTTGCTTAATTGGAAAAAAACAAACAAAACTAATGACATTAAATATTCCAACCTTGCTGCAAAAGTATTGAACTAGAAAAAACATGTAAGATGTTCTTGACATTAGTATGTCTGATGCAAAAAATTTGCTACATTAAGTCCGTTTCAATCCATTAAATAGTGATTTGGTTTATGAGAATCTAAGAAAACTACACATGTCAGTTTAACACATGGACAACAAATATAAATGAATATGAAATGTATCCATATGATACAAAGAAAGAAATGTCAAATATCTTTCATACTATATTTGATTTTCTTAAGTTGGAAAAATATTCCCAAAATACAAATGTATGTGAATTAATGATCGACATAGGTATAATAACGTTAGTGTGGAATATACGAAAACTGGATTCCTTTCACTCTAACAAAGAGAAAAGAAAAAAAGGATTAATTTTATCTATTTCTAGTTGAACCCTGAAAGTTATCTATACTAAAACAAGAATAGAAAGCTTCACCATCATGTGAAACCTAGATATCACCAGAAACCTGTGAGCTAGAAGACGGTAATGGCTGCTGCGTTGAGCTGTTCTCGGGGTAAACCGCTGCTATAAGCTTCTCTTTCGTCAATGGATCTGTCCCGTTGTTAGACTTTACCACAAAAGTGTGAAACATTGTGTCTTCAGCTAACGATAACTTAGCCTCCATTAGACTAACGTTTGAGTTTCTCATTGCTTGTATGATTCTTGAAGCTGGATGTGAATCTAAAGGTGAGACTACTCTTACAACAACCTCTTCATTCATAGCTTGAATGTCAACTTCTGGACTTTCTACTGTTCTTGTGTTTGATTCCGATAAGCTGTTATCTGCTCTTTCATCTTCCATGATCTTGACTTTCTCTTGAAGCTCTTTGATGTAAGAAATTGCGTCTCCAAGTAGAGAAGCTTTGTCCATTTTCGAAATGTTTGGAACAACTGACCGTAAAGCGTAGAATCTTTGGTTAAGCTTCTCGCGTCTCTGCCTCTCAGCTTCCACATGGTTCAATGGCTCTTCTCTTCCGTTTGCAGGCTTTCTCCCTCGCTTTCGCGGTCTCTTCTCATCAACAACAGAAACTGTTCCTGCTCCTGCTAACAAGCTCACTGGTCTTTTCTCTGTACAAGATTCTGATTTTTCTAGTTGAGTGTTTGTAGATGGATTAGAAGAAGCAGCTACTGATGATCCAGCAAACTCAATCTGCGTCTTGTAATTGTTATCATCTACAACCATATTCACATTCTCTTGCACTTTCACATCTTCTATTTGAGGTGTGTAACCAAATGTTGGACCTTTATTATGAATATAGCCTTCCCAACTTTGAGGAGTGAATCTCTCATCCAAATTTCTTCTCACTTCTAGCTTCTTAGGATACGCGTGAGCTCCACGATCCGAGTTATTCAAATCCTGCCCGAAAAGCTTGTGAATCCCTCCACTCATGTTAGTGTTTGAAGTCACCATTAATGGTTGCGTAACTCTCCTCATGAACAAAGCTTGAACAGACTTAACCAAGCCAATGTTTTCAGGCAAAGACCAAACAGAACCAAGCTCAAGAACACCAGCATCAGTAGGAACCATAACGATCGTTCTGATTCCCGCAGATTTCGCCATAAAAGACCTGAAACAATAGTCAGACTCAGAGTTAACCGCATCAGAGAGCCACACATGTTTCCCTGAAGCATAACACCTCCCCGGACCGCCTTCACCGTGATTGAAGAAGAAATACATGGAAGCTAAGAAGAAAATCTCAGTAGCTGTAACTTTCTCTAAACTCAAAGCATAATTGTCTTCATCAGATCCACCAAACAACCTATGAAGCTTCTGCAAAACTCTCTTCCTCATATCTTGCCATGTCTCTTCCTCTACTCCCATGTTGCTAAAATTATAAGACCTAACAACTTTTGATTCCTCTTCCTCATTAGGCTCTCGACAACACCCATCTCCCCAACCTAAGACTTGTTGTCCGGATCTAGACATGGTTTGTTGCCAGAAAATAGCGTAGTTCCAGCTAAAATTCTCCGAGTTTGGCCAATCAACGAGACTAGAGAGCTTCTTATTCAGACTATCATCAGTTCCCATAACAAGAAACAGATTCTGATTCGAATTAGAGTTTGCTCGAAGAAAATCAGAAGCTAAATGCCCTAAAACAGCAATAACCACCGATTTCTCTTCATCATCCCAACCCACATCACTAATATTCATCTTTCTTTATCTCCAAGATTACACAGAATCCTACCAAACCCAAAACCAGAAAAGCTCTGTAACTTCAAATAACTTAAACGGAGAAAACCAAACCTTTCTTCTACACACAACTCAGTGATTGACTCAATGATGCTTGAAACCATATAAACTCGAGTCTCTCCAGTAACCAAATTCTAGAAGAAAAAGGTCGGAAATTTGAACAATTTGAAGAATACCCACCAGAAAAAAATGCAAACCCAGTGATGAGTCACGCTCAAGAGAAGCCACCGCCGGTTAAGAAAACACTCACCGGAGAAAGATTCCAGAAAGCTTTGATTTTTACAAGAAATTGAACATTTGAATGAGCTTTGCAACTAGAAAAGTCATACAGACAAAAGAAAAGAGTATGAAAACAAGAGGTTGCAGAAGAAGATACAGTTAGAGAGAGAGAGAGGGAAGAGAGAAGGACGAGACTTGCTAGGGGGTAATTGAAGTTCCTATGAAAGCTCTTTTTAAAAACCTAACCATGGTTACTTATGCACGTTAATTACTTTGGTTATTCAAGTTAACCATGGTTGAATTTCCCAAGGCTTTCGAATTAATTAGAAACCCGATTTAATCTGTGATTATAAACTCTGTTTCCTGATTTTACGATCACTTACTTTGATTGTTTCTCTCCGAATAAAGATTAAAAAAAAAAAATTTTATTCTCATTCCAGTTGGCATTTTGCAAATTTACAGTGCTAATTAATTAAAGCTTTATCTTCTTTTCTGATCCGCATACCCCTAAATCTCGCTTGTCTTTGAACCAAATCCAATTAATTTCATAAAGTAGTAAATAACTGATGGTGAATTGGTGATATTAGTGAAACAACTATATTTGCACTCGGTAAATTTTAGAGAAAGAAAAATAGTACACACGTGTGTATGTTAACTACGTGAGAGATTCAAATTATAGTAATGTTAATGTACTTAAGAAGTATAGATCACATGGTATAAATATTTTAAAATTTATTCTGTACTAAATAGTACTAAATTAATTGTTTGTTTTTATTTTCCTCTACCTATACAAATAACTCACATGCATAAAGAAACAAAAATATATTGTCTGAATTGCCTGGTGGGGTTTTGGTTATTTCAGACATCGTTATTGACGTGGGTCCATTTATTTAATAGGACTCTGGGTATATTATTCTTATCAATAGTCCTTAAATTCAATATAAAAACAGTACTTTCTTTCTTTATTTAGGTTTTAAAATTGGAAAGAAAATTATTTGTCGCATAGGATTTGCGTGAATCTCATGCCCAACAGTAACGTTCAACAAAAGGAGTCTCGCTCGTTGTGAGAGAGAGCACATGTGAGACTTTAACCTACTTTTCTAGGCCTCATGTGTTTGTAATTTTCTAATTGTGTTCTCGCCTTAATTTCAATTAATTTAAACACATTAATTTGTATAATTACATTATTACATTTATAACTTGTTTTAAAATATTATTGCATGAGATAAGCCTCATCACGTTTTGTATGGGAATATTTTCGTATACTAATCTAAAATAGTTTGACAGAATTAAAAATTGACGTAAAAATAAACAAAGAGATTCAATAAAATACTCTCTCTTTTTTAGCATACGTTGATAATACGTTGTTAAAAAATTGAATACAAAGAGTTATGTCATGCAAAAAAGAAAATCTTTTACCCATTTATATTATCAGGGATTTGTTCACCGCCTATCTTCTCTTTCGCTTAGTGGTGATGATGTGTGATAGTTTGATCCAGAACAACAATCTTTGGAAAATTTTAATGATCTAATTTGCTTCATGTATCAACGTTATAATCTGATCTTAATATCTAATATACATAATATGATATATATATAGCACTAAAAATTGGTGATAACTGATAAGTATTGCAAAGTTAAAAAAAAAAACACGTTATACAAAAATTAAAATTTTACTTTTCGGATTAGTAGTTATCGAATTCTATATGAGTTGTGAATGCGAAATTATCAATGTAAAACTAAAGACACACCACAATACCAAAACGGAAGTTAAAAAATGAAATATGGAAAAGTTTAAACAACATGTTTGTATATGGTCATAAAAATTGAATCAATCGTTTTTGTGATAACAATTCCGAAATTATAATTATAGAGGAGCTCCAACTCAAAGAAAAACGTGTATGTATAATGTACAATATTGTGACGTGACATGCAAAATTTGACCTCTTTTTTGTAGATTAAGATGATATCATAACGCCATGATTGGTGTCTCTTTGAGTAATTTGGAAGTCGCACCAACTTATATATAAATTCTTTATCTTCTTATAGAGCAAAAAAACCAACTTATCAACTTATCTATATATCTATATATATATATATATATATCTCATATATATAAAACCAAAAATAAACTCTTATCTCATATATATTTAATCAAGTATACAACTGTAACATAAATACCGAACGTGTTTTTTAGGGCTCGTTTAATACTATTTGAGTATTTGTCTTGAATATTCTTTCGTTTTGAAGAGAATATATAGTCACAACACAAAATTAGCCCTATCATTAAGAATTTCTATATATCATTTTAGATATTTAGAGAACCTAATTAAAATTTGACTTAATTTGTTGATTTAAGTTTGGTATATTTATATTGAATAAACTAAATAGTTTAAAACAAATTCATAACGAGTTTTTTTTTTTTTTTTTTTACATTAGTGAGATCATGTAACGAATAAAATAAAATAAAAGTAATGGATAAGAGTAGGAGAGTAGGGCTTACTAACGTATGGCAGAGAGCGAATGTGAGGAGAAATGTGGGGTCAAGTGGAGACACGCGTGACTACGGTGGTCTTTATTGCAGACAATAACTTCTCCTGTCTCACATGTCTTTTCAAAACGTAAAATGTAAAAATGATTTGTCGTGTTTCACTTCTTTTGTCCTCGCAATTTCGCATTCCTTTTCTCTATTCTTGCTAAAAACGCGTCTAAGCACTTGGTAAACGAGAAGTTGGAGAAGATATGAACTTCTAATCATTTTCCCATTCTTTTTTTCTCAATTCGAAACGCGTCTATTCATTAATCAGTTGGGAAGTGTAAAAGTATCAATTTCCCACAGTTTTGTGATATGCCTAAAATTTGGTATCCATTTAACTAAAAAAAAAGTTACAAAAATTGCTATAATTTCGGAATTGAAGACTCAAACCGGCCATCTCCTTGTAAGGGAAGATACGACTACCACAAGACAATTTGCAAATTTGATACTCCAAAAATTATAATATATTTTGCTATCTAAAATACTAGTTTGATGGGTTTTAGGTCCGGACCGGCCATGATTATCAACAAAAGAGAGAAAAAAATAAGTCCTAACAAAACCGATAAAATACTACATTTATAACAAAAAATGACACTATTGTGAATTGATAAAGGTACTATAGTTTGTCTTGTACCACTATTTCTTATCAATTCATTTTTATAGTTCTTCTATCTTTTATCGAAAACTACATAGGAAAACATGCATGAAATTTTGATACAAATTTGTTTTTCTAAAACATGTACTATGTAAAGAAACAGTGGAAAGTTTACATGGGGGAATTGCTAGTCTCGTGGGATTAGTCCTTGGACCTAGGAAATCTTTGGGAGATCCGCGGTTATTCAAAAAAAAAAAAACAGTGGAAGTATACTGTATATTATATATATTGTCACTCAACGTATGTTTTATTCAAATGCTACCATATGTGTAAACTAAAGTTGCAAAGTGGTCGTTTTAACGCGTTAGGAAATTACGGGAAAAATCCAATTGTGGTGATGGGAACAAATGAATAGAGAATCGCTTTTGTTTACGCAACTCATCTTCTTTTATATATATCACGCGTTTTTCGTGGGCTTCAATGGGCCCCATGAAGTCGACATTGTAATTTAAAAGTACGGCAAAAATACATCATGCGCCACGTGGCCTTCTTTTGTTTATCATAATCTCACACGTGAGACGTGTGACAAATGCTAACGCAAACTTTTAACTAGTAGGTTTTTGGTTTAGTTAACCGATAATAAAGAAAACAAGCTAAATTACTTAGCAGCAAAAATTTAAATCGAGGTGAGAATTTCATGTGCAATTAATTATTAGCATGACTCTTCTGGCTTTAACATCAAAATCAAACACTAAAGACAGAAAAATATGCCATCAAAGTAATAACTATTTGACTAAGAAACTCTTTTTCTTATTCGTAAAACTACTTTTTATTTTGTAGACGAACGAACGTGATAAGTTTGGACCAGCGTCCTTTGGGACATGTTCGAAGAAAGGATACGTCGTCGTTTCGTTTCGTCGGCATTTTCTGATTTCAGTCTTTCTTTTTCTTTAGGTTCACTCACTGCACGAATTTCCACGTACTCTTTTATCGACACGCTTAATTAAGAACACATATTAGATTATTTTTTTTCTTTTTCGAAGAATTTATTTTGTTTAAGAACAAGTGATTAACAACAAGAAAAAAAACTTTTAGATTTATATGGTTCGTATAAATGCACCGACAGACTTGGAAAGCTTGGAGCTAGAAATTCTACCGACAGAAATTCTTGCTCGGAAACCATAGACGTACCTATTAACTAGGTCCAGACTCGCACATACGTGCGGGGTTTTATATTATAAGATTTTTGTTATCTAAATTATATAATCAACACATTTGTGTTTATTTAGTATGTAATTTAATGGTTGTATTTTTTTTTGGTTTGTTAATTAGGTAAAAGAATATATACAATTCAATTAGAAACTTGATTTTAGGATTTTTATAGTGTTTCAAATAGAATTTGGTACAGTGGTTTTTTTTTTTTCATTGGTTTGAAAGTTTGAATAGAAATATAAGTAATAATACAATAATTTTGATTTGGTGAAAGATTGGACTGGTTTGGTTTGGTTTTGTTGTAATATATGTAAATTTGTATTATTGTTGTGTACGTAATATTTGTAAGATTGAATATTGAGTAATTAAAATAAGAGATTATTTTAAAAAAATGTAATATAATATGTTTGGTGCATAAAATATATTGTTTGAGACTTTATGCAATATTAATTAGTGCATATAGATGATTGATCCAACTTAAAAAATTTAAGCCCATGATTCAAAGAATCAGGAGTAATGTCGAGTTGGGCCGCCAAAATTATTATAGACCCAGATTAAAAAATAATCTTTCGACCTAATTCTTTTACCCTCATGTGATAGGAAGAATCTTAATAAATCTGTTAAGTCGGTTTAATCACTTGGTTACTTAATAAATTACTTATGTCTTTATCTCTGTTGGTACGACACAATCGTATATGTAAGGCGGCATTTGCCAATTCAGGAAACCTAATCAATCAAAATCGATTTCATCGTCTTCATCTCTTTCTCTCTTCATCGCCATTCATCATCATCATCAAATCTCAGGATCTTGGAGGTGGCTCTTCTCTTTCGTAACTACCTTCTAGACTATGATTTCCAATCTTCGATCTCTCGGTGAGTTTCTAGGTTGCCTCTCTTTCGGAAATCCCGTCACACCTCCGCTTTCAGAATTGGATCAATTCATTAGCTTATCAGCTTTAATCAATTGGGCAACAGTAGAGGATTGCAAGAGCTGCCGAGTCCACGAGTTCTTCTCCATCAGTAGCTTCCGGTGATAAAACCCTAATCCATGATGATGAATTCACTCTAACCAAGGTTATATTGCTATCAACCTATCAAATCCCTAATCAAGAGTTTCTTCAAATTCAGTGTGATTATATAAACGAGCACTTAGTGAAGTAGATGAGATTTTTGGTTAATCATATTTTCAAGTTTTACTTGCGAAGACAAATTTTCACTTTCGATCAATTCATGGGTAAGAGATGTCGTTTTCTTCTTTTTCATCAAGTTTTGGGAGATAACTCCAACTAAGTATAGCTAACTCAAGTAAGAAACATGAATTTTCCTTAGAAGATGTGGTTTGGGTTTTTGGGAGTTTTCTCCTTCTTTCTGACGATTCTGATTGAAGTTCATGCAAAAATCAAGTTGTTTCATTAATTATTATGCTCTTTGTCTACTTGTTGATTTAGTAGCTGCGTTGTAGGTCCAGTCCGGTTCAAAGACATCACGTAACAGTTAGCACTCTTCGATCAGTTTCTTTTTTGTTGATTTGGATTCAAATTCGAAGTAAGCGATTTCGAATTATCTTTCATTTTTAACAAAGGCAAATTTCTCAAGATACATATGAAGTAGTATCTTTTTCGGTTCATGGCTCATCAATTACTATTTTTTTCCATCTTGTCGGAGCTCTTGAGCTCTCGGTATTGCAGAGAACGATATGGTGCTTTTTGCGACTTCACTTTCCTAGTATTCTGAGTTTCAATGTCTTCGGAGGCGTCTTCAATCAACAACAAAAGCACCAGGTGATTTTTTCATTACATTTTACAAAATTATGAGCTACTCGTTTTCAATCTAAGATTAACGTTGGAGGACTATCCAGCAAATGGATCAATTAATCATGTAATTATTCTATCTTAGTAACATAGAACTTTTACTCTTTACGCCGAGAGTTAGACACTTTATTTAGTAAGCATAACAATGCTATCTATATTAAAACAACACAAAGGCATTAGAGAAGATAAATAAATCATACAAAACGAAAGAATTTCCAAGAGCAACTTAAAACTCAAACAAACAACAAATTTATCAGTAGATTTTATCCCTTTTTCTCTTTGGTATTCTCATATTTAATTTCCTTGTCATTAGTCTTCTCAGCCTAAATGTTCTTATCCTTCATTACTTAGTCCAATGCTTCTTGCTTGTGTGCTTAGTTGCCTCAACAATACCCCTTTTTCTACTTGTAGATCAAAGTGTACATTGTAGCTTTAATGGTTTGCACTACTATTAGTAAAACCTAGGGGAAAGATGACAATGAGATTAGCAAAAACATTAAAATCATTAGATCTATAGTTAGGAGTATATAACTCCTTATTTTAGGTCTTGAATCTGTAGTTAAGAAAAAAAAAAAATAGTTAGTAAGATTTAGTATACCACTTGTGAATCTCATTATTTCTCACTTAATTATAAGAAACACAACACTTAAAATCATTAGAAGAAGAATATTTTGTAAGCTTGGTCATAGATCACAAATTAACAATCTAGGAGTATTGATGCAGATTAAGAGATCATCTATATAGAGGGAATATATGAGTTTGGGTTGTTATAGAAATATCGGTGAACTGATTTTTTTTAAATCGAATTTACTGTTTTGCTTGTTATGGAATTATTTTTGAAGCAATTGATTCTTATTTATTGAAATTTTAATTGCTAATATTCCGTGGATTATGTGTAGATAAGGAATTTTCTTGAGTTGTTCCGATTTGAATATATAGATGTCCTTTTTTGTGTGGTAAAACTCATAACTAAATATGGATATAAACGGATTTTATTAATTGTGGTAAAAAACATAAATGAAATCGAATATAAAAGATTAAGTTTTCTTTAATTCTACGGAATATACGGGATTGGGTTGTTATAGAAATTATAGAAGAAGTGATAATTTCTAATTAATTCGAATTTTTAACTTTGCTCGATATGGAAACATATGTGAAGATATTAAATCTAATTTATTTTAACTTTAATTTCTGTAGATCTCGATCATAAATATCAGGCAACATATTAGGCCAATTTGCTCGAAAGCCCAATAAAATTCAAATGGAAAGATCTGCGTGTTTTACCAATTGTCGACCCGTGACCCGCGCGATTTACCAATTGGGGATCCGAATAATGATCCAAGATCTGCGTCCTTCAGATTGCCAAAATGTCAATTTCACCCCTCAACGAATTCTTTTGTTTAGTCGTAGAATCAAAATTTTGTAATGGCATTCCTTTGTAATTCTTTATCCTTTATAAAATTATTTATTATCCAATGCTTTCCAATTAATAGAATAGATAATGTGAATGCTCTTTAATTTTTTAAAATATGAAATGTTCGTGAGGCCTTTACATTCAGATTCAGCCCATTATATTTGTGGGCTTATAGGAAAGAGAAAAGCCCATTAAACCTCTATCGGGTATAACCAAAAACCCGATAACCCGACTCGCTCATCGGAGAACTTTCCATTTTATAAAACTTGAGTAAATGTAAATCTCTTTGAAATAAAAAGCTTTTCCGTTTCCCTCTTTTGAAAAATCAGAAAACCCTAAATCGCTACTCTCTCGTCTCTCTTCGCCGTCTTCATCTCTCTCCGGCGAAACCCTAATCGAACAGCTCGGATTCGATCCGTCGTATAAACCTTAGTATCTGTTGTCTTCTAAGAAAGATGGAGTGGAATCGGCAGACTCTAGAGTTCCTTTCGCAATGTTTTCTTAACACGCTCTCTCCGATACCGGAGCCTCGTCGAACAGCTGAGAAAGCACTATCGGATGCCGCCGATCTACCTAACTACGGCCTTGCCGTTCTCCGCTTGGTGGCGGAGCCCGCAATCGACGAACAGACGCGTCACGCCGCTGCTGTTAACTTTAAGAACCATCTCCGTTCGCGGTGGCTTCCTGCTGCTGATTCTGGTATCTCGCCGATCGTTGATTCGGAGAAGGAGCAGATCAAGACACTCATCGTCTCTCTTATGCTCTCTTCTTCTCCTCGTATCCAGAGCCAGTTGAGTGAAGCCCTAGCCGTCATTGGTAAGCACGATTTCCCCAAATCTTGGCCTGCTTTACTTCCTGAGCTTATCGCCAACCTTCAAAAGGCTGCTCTCGCTGGCGATTATGTGTCCGTCAATGGTATACTTGGGACCGCTAGTTCGATTTTCAAAAAGTTTCGGTATCAGTATAGAACCGATGATCTGTTTCTTGATTTGAAGTATTGCTTGGATGGTTTTGCTGCTCCTTTGACTGAAATATTCCTGAAAACGTCTTCGTTGATTGATTCTGCTGCGAGCTCTGGTGGGACATCTGCGATCCTGAAGCCTCTGTTTGAGTCCCAAAGGCTGTGCTGTAGAATATTTTACTCTTTGAACTTTCAGGACTTACCGGAGTTTTTCGAGGATCATATGAACGAGTGGATGGGAGAGTTTAAGAAGTATCTATCTTCAAATTATCCCGCCTTGGAAAGCACAGAAGAGGGGTTAACACTTGTTGATGATCTTCGTGCTGCTATTTGCGAGAATATCAACCTTTATATCGAGAAAAACGAAGAAGAGTTTCAAGGCTTTTTGAATGATTTTGCATCAGTTGTCTGGACATTGCTCCGAGATGTGTCAAAGTCCCCTAGCAGGGATCAACTAGCTACTACAGCAATCAAGTTTTTGACCACTGTGAGTACAAGTGTTCACCATGCTTTGTTTGCGGGCGACAATGTTATCAAGGAAATTTGCCAAAGTATTGTGATTCCCAATGTTTCTTTGAGGGTGGAAGATGAAGAAATTTTCGAGATGAACTATATAGAGTTTATCCGTAGAGACATGGAGGGAAGTGATGTGGACACTAGAAGGAGAATAGCTTGTGAGCTACTCAAAGGACTTGCCACAAACTACAAAACACAAGTGACAGAAGTAGTTTCTCTTGAGATACAGAAGCTCTTGAGTTCATTTTCAGCAAATCCGTCTGCACACTGGAAAGATAAGGATTGTGCAATTTACTTGGTTGTTTCTCTATCTACTAAGAAGGCAGGGGGTGCATCTGTGTCTACAGATCTCATTGATGTTCAAAACTTCTTTACAAGCATTATTCTCCCGGAGCTGCAAAGCCGGGATGTTAACAGTTTTCCGATGCTAAAGGCAGGGTCCTTGAAGTTTTTAACAATGTTTCGTAGTCATATACCAAAGCCCTTTGCAATGCAGTTGTTCCCAGAGTTGGTCCGGTTCCTTAAAGCAGAGTCGAACGTGGTCCACTCTTATGCTGCTAGCTGCATAGAGAAGCTCTTGCTAGTGAAGGAGGAAGGCGGAAGGGGTAATAGGTATGTTGCTGGTGATATAAGTCCGTTTTTGCTGCAGTTAATGACGAACCTGTTTGATGCGCTGAAGTTTCCAGAATCAGAGGAGAATCAATATCTGATGAAGTGTATAATGCGGGTCCTTGGTGTTGCTGATATCAGTGCTGAGGTTGCTGGACCTTGCATCGGGGGATTGACCTCTATTCTTAGTGAAGTTTGCAAAAATCCTAAAAATCCTATATTTAACCACTATCTCTTTGAGTCTGTGGCTGTACTTGTTCGACGGGCATGTGAACGCGATATTTCTCTTACATCTGCATTTGAAACGAGTCTTTTCCCAAGCCTCCAGTTGATTTTGGCCAATGATATCACAGAGTTCTTGCCTTATGCGTTTCAGTTGCTGGCTCAGCTTGTTGAGTTAAATAGACCACCTCTCTCACCAAACTACATGCAGATCTTCTTGCTGCTCCTCTCGCCTGAGTCATGGAAGAGGAATGGCAATGTTCCAGCTCTTGTGCGTCTGCTTCAAGCTTTTCTGCAGAAAGCACCTCATGAGGTTACTCAAGAGAATCGGTTGAGTCAAGTTCTGGGGATATTTGAAAAGCTGGTTGCATCTCCTAGCACAGATGAGCAAGGCTTTTATATCCTTAACACGATTATTGAGAATCTGGACTACAGTGTGATTGCACCTTACATGAAGGGTGTATGGAGTGCTCTATTCACACGCCTTCAAAACAAAAAGACAGTCAAGTTCCAGAAGTCGCTAGTAATATTCATGTCGCTTTTCTTGGTGAAGCATGGACAGGCTTATCTAGTGGAGACTATGAATACTGTTCAGCCAAACATCTTCACGGCTATCTTGGAGCATTTCTGGATTCCGAACCTGAAACTGATCATGGGGAGTATCGAGGTAAAGTTAACGGCAGTTGCTGCGACTAGACTCATATGTGAGACTCCGGCTCTCCTGGATCCATCAGCTGCTAAACTCTGGGGGAAGATGCTTGATAGCATAGTGACGCTTGTTTCCAGGCCTGAGCAAGAAAGGGTACTTGATGAACCTGAAATGCCAGAAATCTCGGAGAATGTTGGATACACAGCTGCGTTTGTGAACCTTCACAATGCAGGGAAAAAAGAAGAGGATCCTCTGAAAGACATCAAGGACCCGAAACAGTTCTTGGTCGCTTCTGTTTCGAGGCTTTCTTCTGCTTCTCCTGGTAGGTACCCACAGATAATTGGTGAGAATCTCGAACAAGCTAACCAAGCAGCTTTGCTCCAGCTCTGCAATGCTTACAACTGTGGAATTGCTTGAAGGTAAGTGTTTGTATTGACTTCAAGAATGGTTTCAGATTGTATTCAGGAATCAATCTTGATGGAAACTATAAAATGTTTTTTGGCAGGAGAGATGGGTCTGAGGGGAAAGAAGAAGGGAAACACAACATCACTGCATTGCATTGCGTCTGCGAAGAAAAAGTGGTCAAATTATATATGCATATTTTTGTTTTTTAAATCGGGAGTTTCATAGCATTTGGAAGTTAGACTAGAGAAGAGCATCATCTTCCAAAAACTTGGATTTCTTTTTTTGGATTTCGCATTTGAATGGGGGAGGGGTTTGTCTTGTTTTCCCTTC